GATTGAAAATTAATTAATAGTCATAATTATGAGTTTTAGCAAATTGTATTGATTTTACAAAGTCATATTTTATATTTGAGCAAATTGGTACTTTTTTTTAAATTTAACTTATCCTTTTTTTTTAACTTTATAAATAATATTTTTAAAAATATTAGTTTCGGGGTCCGGGTTATATTTTAGCTAAAATTAAGTATAATTCTGGCTAAAATTAAGTATAATGCGTGCCAAAAACTGTCCGTTTAGTTTCGCAACATTTTATTTTTTAATAATTATTTATTTGATTTATTATTTTTATTAATTATTATTTTATCTATAATCTACATATTTTAATTATAAAAATTGGCAGTTTAATTTATATTAATCATTTATTTTTTTATTGATAATAAAAAAAACGATTATTAACTCATATTTTGAGTTTTAGCAAATTAGTATAGATTTGAAATGTAATAATTTGATTTTTGGCAAATTAGGTCTATTTTAGCAGAAGCAAAAAGTACTTAAATTCATGCAGATCAGTTATGAGTTATATATGTAATGTCCGGGGTCCTACTTAATTCTAATTTAACTAATTTAGTAGTATTAAGGTTTTAATTTAAAAATTAAGCAGTATCAAGGAAAATTCTTGCGAATTTTTCTTAATACTGCTTATATTTGTCAATTTGTGAAATTAGCTAAAATTAAGATTTTCATAAAGATTTGCACATTTTAACAAAAATTATGTTTCACAAGCTTAAATTATATGTTACATAATCAGATGATCTAAATCTATCAAAAAATAAAAAAAAATTTTTAACATTTATTCAAAAATAACAATAGCAACTACTTTCTTTTTCAATTACTTTTCAATTACTTTTCAATCAGATTTTTGTTAAGTGACTTAGAAAAGTTTATAGGTATATATAGCAGGTTTTTTTTAATCAGTAAGTAAGAAAACAAATATTAATAATTTATATTAATAAGAAAAATCTTTTTTCATTTATTTTTAACTTAGTTCCTTCCTTTTTTTAGTAAAAATATATACAAAATAAAAATATGAGTTATGCTTTAGAGTTTTTAAGATGTTTTTTTTTGTTTTTTACTATACTAATTTTATTCTACTTGTTAATTACTTTTTAAAATTGATTTTATTAATTTATTCAATTTAAAACAGAAATAGCAAATAAAACCTTGTTAAGTAAAGTAAAAAGAGCTCAATAATACTTGTAAAGATAATCTTTTGTAAGAATTATAATTTTAAAAATTTTTGTGTCGGAGTTTTATTCAATTAACAAAATCGTTAATATCTCGGCGTACATGTATGCTAAACACATATATTTATATTCATATGAATGAAAGCCTAGAATCTACTCTATCTGAACAAAAAAAGATTATTCAAATTGAATTACTAGATGTGAAGATATTAACGATCAAAGTCAAAGGTTAAAAATAAATATATTGAACGTAATTATTCAGCAACTTGTGATCCAATTCATGTGATATTTGGTTTATGGATAGCTCTTGATTACCTCTTTCTAATGAATATAAATTCATTCGTCTAGCACACATACACGTTAAGTTATTCAATATTTTGTCATGACAATTATATTTAAATTTTTTAATTTTAATGATATTATTAAAAAAAATCAAAAAATAATATAATCAAATCAATTTTATTTATGTCAGCTGTTGTGAATCTATCATTTTCATATAACTTGTATTTGCATTTGCTTAATAAAGTTAGTTTTTTTAATATAAAAACTTAATTCCATAAATCAGCTCATATGTTAATTCTAATTTTGCTAATTTAGTAATATTAAGGCTTTAATTTAAAAATTAAGCAGTATTAAGAAAAATTCGCAAGAATTTTTCTTAATACTGCTTAATTCTAATTTAACTAATTTAATATTAATAAGGCTTTAATTTAAAAATTAAGCAGTATCAAAGAAAATTCTCACAAATTTTTCTTAATTCTAATTTAGCTAATTTAGTATTAAGGCTTTAATTTAAAAATTAAGCAGTATTAAGAAAAATTTTTACAAATTTTCTTATTAAAAAAAAGAACTTTTAAATTACTAATTAAACTTTAAAAACAATCTGTATGATTTAAATTTTTTAAAAAATACTTCTGCTTTTTAATTTTCGCATTTCTATATTTAACCAATTAAAATTCAGCTGATCGCTAATCACATGCATTAATAACACGTTATTGTTTATTTTTTGTTTATTTTTTCAAAAATATTCTTCTCTTCTTTTTTTTTAGAAAAAAANTTTTATCAAAAATATTCTTTTCTCTTCTTTTTTTTAGAAAAAAAAAAGACAATAAAAATGAATACCAAAACTATTTTAACATATAATAATAAAAATTAAATAAAAAACTTATTTTGATAATATACAATATATATATTTGTACCAAACTACTAATTATACAAAAAGTGATATGCACGTATATCAATTACTTTCACTAATATCTCTCTGGAATTGTAATGGTGAATTTTAACAATATTAATTAAACAACTATATGTACACCGTTTTATGTTTTTATTTTTATATTAATATTAATATATGTTAACATATATTAATTATATTTTTTTTTTACTTTTATGTATTTTATTTAATTTTTTTAATATATTACTAATATTACTATTATCATTTTATTACTTTTTTTAATCTGAAAAACTCTTTCCTGTACCGTTCACATCCATTTTTCACACAAGAAATATTACGCTTTTTTCTCGTTAAATTACTAGAAAAATAGCACTTCAGTATTAAGACAAAAGTGTTCCTTGGTTTAAACAACACACTTTTTATTATCACTCTTTTCAGTTCGAACCAGTTCACAAGGGCTTAATAGTCCTTTAAAGACATAAAAGTTTTGTTTTCTTGCGAAAGTTTTTCAAAAGAAGGCGTAAATACAGTGCACCAATCAGATAAAAGATGCCGAATAAAGAAATTTTTATCGGCTATACTTTTTTCCGTCCAGAAAAAGTGAAACGGTACACGGGGGCTGATACGATATATTCTACTCGAAAAGGAAAGTCCTACATCCTTTTACATGTAAATTCGTTACAGAAAGAGAAAGATATGTTGACAATTGTTACCAATAATAGACATATAATAAAGAAATATGATAAGCCTTATTTGATTAATTCAGATCGGCCTATGATGAACACTAAATACAGGATTTCAAAATACTTGACGAGTGTATTTTGTGGGTTACCTATTGATATAGAAACTAGAAACAAGTATTTTTTAAGAATACGTCAATTATTATTGGATAAACTGGTAGCTATTGAAAATAGATTGAAGAAACAAGAAAAGAACAGGCAAACTACAACTTATATTAAATTTAGTCATGGTAACCGAACATGGTATTTGGGGTTCTACATCCCATGTTCATTTTGTAGCAATGTCTGTGCTTATGTAATGTCAAACAATAGGAAAGTATGTCAAAATTGTCGTTCTAAGGTGATAGTAACACCTACACCTCCCACGCAAAACACGTTTAAAAATTATTGTCAAAGTAAACAAATAGTAAGTAAACGCATAGGCGTTACTTATACAAAAAAGGTTTCAATGCATAGTGGTACAGGTAACTATTTAGTTACATACTCAAATTTAGGTATTAACAAACAGTTCAAGACGATGAAAGAACAAGAGAAGTATAAAAAAAGGTTTACGAATAGCCTCAAAACTCATAAGAATAAATGGAATTACACTAATAATAGATTTGAGTCAAAGCCAATAGTTTCTAAACATCGATTGAAACGAAGAGGTGATATTCTTAAGAAACATTATATATCAAACAAGGAATTGGAGTTTCTGTTTGATCAAGTTACAAATAGATCAGAATACAACATGTTGAAAGATGATATTTTTATTAACCATTCCTTCAACAGTGAATATTTTCTTGAATTAAGAAAGAAAAAAGAAGCTACTTTCGAACGCGATGATATCAAGGTGGCTGAACAATCGACCAGTGTTGGTAAGATTATTATGGTAGATGATATTACCACAAATTTACAAGAGCTCGAAATTAGAGAACAGGACAATGTGCTTCCCTGGCAAGAAATATTAAATAAATTTAGACGAATTACAAAGCCGGAATTTCATAGGGGGTTAAATAGTGTCAGAGATCTTGATACTTTAAAGAAATTTTATGATGGAGTTAGGAATAAAAGACGTGATCATATTGTCTCTAACAGTTACGTAAAGATTCAGTGTGATATTAGAGCTCGCAAGATAAAAGATGGGTGGTATTAAGAAAGTATTAATAAGTAATTAGTTATTCTTGTTTTATTTTTCTATTTTCTTTTGTGGGATGACTAATTACGAAGAAACAAATTATCAAAAGGGAAAAAATGAATAATTATTATAGGATTTTAAATCATTCCTTATCTGATAATATTTACATAAGGCTATTTGGTTAGAAAGAAAAATATATAGACAGATTGTCTATTGAATTTATTTTTAGTCTCACATCATTCCATATTTGATTATATTTACATATGGCAAATTTTATTTGAAAGAAAAATATATAGACTTCTTTTAGTTGTTTTAAAGAATTAATTTTTATAATATTCATCATTCTGTATTCGATAGTATGTACATACAGCTTTTTTAATAAAGAAAGAATCATACATGCACGTTATTTATAACGTGTAGATTGGCCGTTTATATGATTTTACATTTTTAATGAAGAATCAAATTAGTTGTCAGTTAATGGAACTGTTAAGGTGCTATAAAATAACTGAAGAAAAATTGGTGTATAAGGTACTGAAACAAATAACTGGTAGAGTGTTATTAGAATTCAAAATGCTTATTTGGGAACCAAGGAACGAGTTACAAATAAAGGAAGAAAAGCGGTGCGGTATTAGCGTTAAAGATAAAAAAGCTAAGTCACATAGTAAACGCATTGAAGCGGGTGTTAAAAATGTTGACTGTAATATGTTAGAAAGTAATTGGAATAAATGGAATGATTTGGCATTCCATCGTGGCGGTCACTGGGCAAATTTTTAGGTAGATCATGACAGTCACCTTTGAATTTGAGGTCGCATCATGGTTTTTAACAATGATGTGATCGTTTAGGTGACAGGTCGACTTGTTCTTTATGAAAAGTAGTCTTGTTTCATAATGCTTAATTCTTATATGTATTTGTTTATCTTATATTTTGTAAGTTTATATATGTAAGTAAGTGTGATTANAGATGTGTATAAGAGACAGATATATTAATAATATTACTAACTTTTTATTATTTCTTTTTTATATTTAAAATAATGATAATATTACTAATTAAATTTCTTTTTTTTTTGTTTATATTTTGCTAATATTATTTTTTTTACAAATAGTATATTATTTTATATTAGTTTTTTATTTATATTATTTATAAAAAATATTTGTATATTTAATATTATTTAATAAAAATTTTATTAATTATAAATGCATTTCAAATTCTGTTTGCAAATAATAATATATACTATTTATCAGTACAAAATATGCAGTTTAAACTGGAAAAAAGTACTGTTTATCAGTATAAAATATACGATTTATCCTGAAAAAGTATACTGTTCATAATATAAAATATAAAACAATATACTATTTATTAGTATAAAACATACGGTTTTTCTACTGTTCACCTGTTGTCTACGACAACAGTTAATATGTAATTCCGGCCAGAATTAAAAGATCTGCAAAGAATATCCTTTTTTGGAAATTTGAGCAACACAATTTTTTTAATTTCTCTGAAAGTAACAGAAGACAAAATTTCCTTTTTGGAAATTTGCGTAACCGACAATTTCCTTTTATGGAATCCAGTGTAACCCAAAATTTCAGTTTTTCGCCAGAAATAAAATTTCCTTTTTTGGTCTTGTGTAACATTGGCGACGAATAGGAGTAGGGTTACACAATTCAAATGACTTATTTATATGGTTAATCTAAATATAACGCCCACGTGATTGCAGTGTTTTTTAATATATAGATTATTAATATTAATCTTTGCTTATAAAAAATTAATCTAATCAAAATTATAACGAATCACGTGATTTATCTCTGCTTTAGATGACCTCCAATTATAGTAATAAACATTTGATAATTCTCATCTTAATGCAAATTAATTTAGATTGCACTAATGATACGATAATAATTTTTTTATGAAACTTTTATTATGATATAGTTAAAATATGCAATAAGTATTGGCTAGTTGTTATGTATCAAAATAAAATTGTTAAAATCATAAAAATTCTGTTTTATTTCATAGTATAGCAAAAATTCTGATTTATTCATTTAATAAAAATGGAATTTTTTTTCATGTGTTAACACATGATTATTTTACAATTATTGTATTATATTAGAAAGTATGCAATTTGTTTGAATGTCATGAAAAATCATGTAAATGTAAGAAATATAATGATTTATATACTTTAGAAAATTTTAAGGTTTAGGATCTTTTACTTTAATAATGGAAAGTGTGTTAATTTAAAAGGTGCTAAGGATACGTCTAACAGCCTAATAGATAAGTCTAGCAGAGTATCTTAAAATATGTTTGAATTGGCAACGTTAAATATAAGCTATAAATCTTAATGCTAATAAGATAGTTTCTCAAATAATTAAGGTTTGAATCTTTTATTTTAATTATGAAAAGTGTATTTAGTTCAAGAGATACTAGGAATACGTCTGATATATCTAGCAGAACACTTTAGAATACGTCTGTATGGGTTTTCTTCTCTATATTTATATTCATTTAGGTAGAGCCAAAATCTGGAAAAAAAGTTCATCTTTCATGGTAATGTTGAATATGATTGTAAATCTTAATGCTAATAAAATGGTTTCTCAAATAGCAGAATTACATGATGATTTCAACAATACAATTTTAATGCCACTCAAGATCAACTACGTTCTGGTAATACATTTAAAAGTTTTATATATTTCTTTCTCTTCTATTGAATAATAACAAGTATTGGTAATACTGTTAGAATGCAAGCGAGTTTGTTTTTTTAAGCAAGAGTTAGTGTTAAAAAAGACAAAAACCAGTGGTAATAATACGTCATCTAGTAAGGTCAAAATATATCTTATTGTTTAGTTTGCAAGAACATCTTTTAATTCTTTTTGCTAATTCTGAAATATGTGTATAGTTCTAAAGTGATATTAGATCTCTATAGCTTATAATGTTAACTATAACAAAAAATAAGTTAGTGGAAGTACAACTGCACTACCTGACTTATCCAGTCCTACTCAAAAATAGATGTTATCTCTAACTTAGTATTAGCATACAATCTTATATGAATATTATACCCACTTATTAATTTTATAATTGATAAAAAAAAGAGCAAATCGAATTCAGTTACTTTATTATAGTATTCTTAAACTATATATCATTTATTAATTATGGAAATTGGAGTTTCAGAAAATGACTTTGAGATATGATTCATATATTTGGGACAAGTATTCAGATGTAATTAATTGTCTTATATGTTATAAATTCTTTTTTTTAATCATAATGTTAAAAGTATTATTCTTTTAATATTCACTAACAGTAACATATTTTGAGTAATCTTGCCATAATTTACTATCTTTGTCTTTCATTTGATCTAACACTTTGGCCCAATCTGATGGTGATAATTGTTTCATACTATATGTTTTACTTGCAATATACTCCATTTCCCATTCCAATTTACCTATTTTATTGGCTTTTTTAATGTCAGCATAATATTGAATATAGTCAATTAATATTCCAAACATTTCAAGAGAAGTTGAATATCTGTATTCTCGAATTCCTGAATTATGAACTATTAAAATAATTAAAATAATTAAAATTATGATTAGTTTTAAATGAAATAAGAAGAGTTGAAATAATTACCTGGATATATTGAAGGTGCATTATTTAAGACTAAAATAACATCTTTATTTGATTCCATTAAAGGATCTTCATTCTTGTCAAGATATAATAAACTGTATTTTTCACGAATATTTTTAATATTTTTAGAAACTGTTACAAATGTTAAAGTATCCAGATTTGTGTGACCTATTTTACAAATCATTATTTATAAATAATTTTTGTATATAAAAAAATAATGATAAATATTTTCTAGTACATGTACCAGTAAAATGTCCGGATATAACATCAGAAAATTTTCCAAGTAATTCTACATATTTATTGTAGCATGCATGATAAAATGTAGGTTCACCTATAAAAAATCAAAGTGTAAACTTGTAAGAAAAAAAAAATGCATCAGGAAAAAAAAAAGATTTTTAGATTTTTATTACCTTCCGAATCTAAAGGTGGGATATGTTGTGCAATAAAAACTTTTCTTCTTTCCTTTCTTGCACTCTTTAATTGATTTTCAATCCATTTTAATTGAATTGCTCCCGGGGAATTTTTATGATTACAATCCTTTATTTGATCATTAGAATCATAGAAATACATTGAATTTAAGCTAAATACGCTAAGTTTTGAATTTATATCTTGTCTAAAATATCCGCCCTTTAAAAAATCAGAAGTTAGATTTAATTTTAAAGGTGCCCATATTTGAGTCAAGTTACTAAAAAGTGTGTTTGGACCATCCTCAAGTTGATTATGATCTAATTATATTTTTATTAAAAAAAAACAATTAAAAAATTGATATGTATATTTACATTTTGTTCAATAAGACTTACCCCACTCATCATTATTTCCCAATGTAGGAATCTATATTTAAGAAAAAAATTAAAGAATTGCTTATTGTTCCAACAATTCTGCAATGCTAATAGATTACTTACAAATTTTATCTTATCAATGTCAAAAGTCTCCATAATATAATTAATAATAGTCTTATGAGACCATTTAACATAATCTTCTGTCAAAGGAATCTTTGAATCTCTCTCGTGTCTCAAAGTATCACCAGTATAGATTATAAAATCGACATCTTGAAAATTTTCTTTAAGGAAAAAGAATGTTGAATTTATTAATGCATAAGATGAATCACATTCCGATTGTGGAGTTCCAAATTTTCCGGACTTATTATTCTTTGATTTTTTGGCATAATTATGACAAAATTTGGATGGGTCACTATTCGGAAGATAAAGATGATCAAAATGGATGTCTGAAAAGTGAAAATGGAAAAGTAAGATTGAAATTTACGTATTTATTAAAGTATTGGTTGAAATAAATTTATTTACCAGTAATATGTAAAAATTTTCCCGAAAATTTTTTATCGTTATTTTCAATTATTTGAAAATGTTTTTGATTTGACAATTGATAATCATGCATAATCAATTGTGTATCTATGGGATTTGCTTCTATATTCCAATTCAATATAACAATACTCATAATAAATAATAACCACATATTAAATATGGTGTTCATTTTTCTTAAAATAATTTGTTTATTTAACGTTTTTATTTCGCAATTAAAAGATTATTTTTTTTTTTTTTTTTTTTCGAGAAAATTTAAGAAGCAAACATATTGATTATTTATTTCGTATTACATTTGTCCGAAAAAAATTATATATTTTTTTTTTTTTTTTTTTTTCGAGAAAATTATTAACTTTAATATAAAGATACCTATCAATTTAAGGTTTCGGAATCTCAGCATGATCATTTGAAAACCATGTATTGTAACCATGAATAAATGTTTGATAATAGTATTATCGACATTAACTAAATTAGAATTGTCAATTGAAATGCAGAATGTTGTACAAAAATTTCTTATAATTTCTCACGGTCATTCCCCATTATATCTGAATGCATTAAACTTTAAAATCTATGTTCCGGTTTTATCTTTCTTCTTTTTTTTCTTTTATCAATTAACAAATTTTCTATTTACAATGACAAATCTATTAAATCTATTAAGTTTATCAAATTCTATAATACGACCTATTAATTTAAGAATAATTAACGCTTTGAGTAGACCAATAATTCGTCCACGATTTAATTATAAAATTTGGATACAAAATTCTAAAAGCTATCATGATAACGAAGCTTTTGGTTATAGAGTCCCTACAACAGAAGATACTATGAAAGATTGTTAGTAAATTTTTTATTATTATCAAATGGCTGAAATTCTATTTAACTGCGCCACATTGTTAATTTTTGCTTTAATTAGATACAAAGGTTGAATTATCAAATCGTATCGAAAATGCAAATTTACTTCGTCTTGTCACTGCTTATAGAACTTATGGTCATAAAGAAGCTCACCTCGATCCTTTGGGTATTCTGGAACGAGAGTATGTTTCATTTATCAAAATTTTGATCTTTCTAATTATTGAATTTCTTAAATATTTCAATATCAATCGAATAGAAAAGTCACAGCTCTCGATCATGAAAGATATGGATTTACCGATCCTAACAAAGTTTATAATTTAAATGGTATTTAATAATCCAATACAATGAAAATTTCAATATTCAATTTTTACATATAATTATTTTAATATTAGGAATATTGCATGTGAACAAATCAGCTTCAACAAAAGTTTCCAAAGAGGATGCAAATATAGAAACTATTCTTTCTCATTTAAAGAAAGTTTACTGTGGAAAAGTTGCTTATGAGTTCATGCATATTCCGGTAAAATATGATTACCTGATTACTTCCAAAAATCATGCGAGATACGTTTTAAAAATTTTAATTCTTAATAGAGCGCAAGTGAAAGACGATGGTTTTATTATACTCTTGAATCTTATGATAAAACTTCCTTAACTATAAAAGAGAAGCGAAAATTTTTTGAATTACTCACAAGATCTGAGGTACACAATTACATGTATGCCCGAAAATCTTATTATCATATTTTTATAATTAACTTTTATCATAGGTATTTGATCATTTTATGTCGAAAAAGTTTCCACAAGTTAAGCGATATGGTCTTGAAGGTGCCGAATCAATGATGGTTGCTTTAGAAAAACTATTTGAAGTTTCGAATAAAGGTATTAATCGTGTGTATTGAGTAAATTACTGTAAAACTGTATAGTAATTTCTTTTTATTTTTAGCTGGTATAATTGAGGTTGTATTATGTATGCCACATAGAGGTCGTTTAAATCTTTTAACAGATTTGTTGAAATTCCCACCTGTAAGGTTATTTCATAAAGTGAAAGGAAATCCTGAATTTCCAGAACATTTACCAGCTTCTGGAGATGTTTTATCACATTTGGGTATTTTTTTCGAATTTTATTAACAAGGAATTTTTTTTAAACCAATTTAAGGTTTTAATAAATTTTCTTATAAATTTTAGCTTCTTCACCTATACTAGATTATGGTGCAACAAATCCCCTAAGTGTCTCTATGTTGCATAATCCATCACATCTGGAAGTATGAGTTGTTTGTTAGTTTTCATTTATTTAAAAATGTCTCTAATTACGTAATTTTTTTTTCTTCTTGGTTCAGGCAGTAAATCCTGTTGCTATGGGAAAGACTCGGGCAAAGCAAATGGATCTTTTAAAATCTGAGAAAGATTGCAAATTGGGTGACCGCGTAATGTGTATACAATTACATGGAGACGCAGTAAGCAAACATAATTGGTTTATTTTGGTTTATTTTTTATTTAAATATTTAATCGAAATTACTTTTTTATTTAACAGGCATTTACAGGTCAAGGTGTTGTGATGGAAAGTTTTGGATTGTCGAATTTACCACATTTCACTTCTGGTGGTTCAATTCATATTGTAGTAAATAATCAATTGGGTTATACAACACCTGCACAAAATGCAAGAAGCAGCTGGTATAGCTCTGATATTGGAAAGATGATTAATGCGCCTGTTATTCATGTTAATGGTGATTTTCCTGAGGTGAGATGAATTGATTTAATGAATACTTTTTTAGTTAGAATTAATAACTTTCAAATTTAGGATGTTACACGTGCTGTTAATGTCGCCTTTGAGTATCGAAATAAATTTGGAAAGGTAAATAATTTTAATATTTTCGGCCAAGTCGCAAATATTAATTTTATATTCTCATTTAAATAGGACGTGATAATAGATTTAATTACATATCGTAGATGGGGTCATAATGAATTGGATGAACCTGCTTATACGCAACCTTTAATGTATGCTAACATTCGGTCTAGGAAGAGTGTTCCAAAGCTATATGAAGAAAAGTTATTGGTATATATTATATTCAATTTATACATATCACGGATTTATTTCCTTTTATTATCTTTTTTTTCTAAACCAAGATAGGCCGAGGATTTAATAGTTACTCAGAATGAAATGAAGGAATTCAGAGATAATTATTTTAAATTTTTGGAAGAACAATATAAGCTGTCTGATAATCATAAGCCTGAGGTAAAGTAATAATATGTGAACAATATGACTTTAGAAATCTGGGTTAAATAATTTATTTTAAAATAGGCAAATACTTTGAAAAAGAAATGGAGTGAAATGATCATGCCAACAGAAACGGTTTCAAAATTGGATACAGGTAGTTTTTAAAGACATTCAATTATTTCTTTTTTTTTTTTAAAAAAAAAAATAACTTTGTTTAATTTATAGGAGTCTCAAGAGAAATTTTAGAAAAAGTAGGAAAGATTTCAGTAACTGTCTCAGATGATATTGTAAGTTTATTATCATCAATCATATATGGATAATTTTATATTATTAATATATTATTTAAATATTTAAATAGATCATACATCCTCGCCTAAAGAAGTTTCATATACAGTCCAGACTACAAAGAATTGCCGAAGGAAAAAATATTGATTGGGCAACAGCTGAGGTTTCTATCTATTTAAAAATATTTAATTTGTACTTAAATTATATTAATGTCAATTTTATATAAAAGGCTCTTGCTTTAGGTTCATTATTACTAGAGGGACATAATGTTAGATTATGTGGGCAAGATGTTGGTCGTGGTACATTTAGTCATCGTCACGCAATGATGGTTTGTCAAGAAACAGAGCGCGTTGTTGTTCCATTAAATAATTTATCAAAAGATCAAGGAATGCTTGAAGTTAGTATATATAAATCATTTTATTTTTTTTATTGCTAAACATGTAATTTATTAATTAATTATAGGTAGCGAATAGTAACTTAAGTGAATTAGCAGTAGTTGGATTTGAATATGGGATGTCAATTGAAAATCCAAATAATCTCAATTTGTGGGAAGCACAATTTGGTGATTTCTTTAATGGGGCCCAAGTTATTATTGACACTTATATTTCAAGTGGTGAAGGTATATACTTCAAAATATTTATTTAGCTAAACATATTAATTTATATTAAATTATACTAAAATTCTGTCCAACATATAAGTGAAATGGCTAAGGCAATCAGGATTAGTTATGCTATTACCTCATGGTTATGATGGAGCAGGACCTGAACATAGTAGTTGTAGAATTGAACGCTTTTTACAGGTATGATTTTCTCTATGTTTAATCACAATATATATAAGTTTAAATTTTGTTTTATTATTTTAAATAGCTTTCAAATGACAGACTTGATGTATTAAATGATAATATACCAATCAATCCAAATATGCATATAATAAATCCTACTACTCCTGCACAATATTTCCATGCTTTAAGAAGACAGGTTTGAGATCAACAAATGTATTTATCATTATATTAAAAACTATATTGATTATTTGTTATTTTTTTTTCTAGTTAAAAAGGAATTTTAGAAAACCTCTTATTATTATGACTCCAAAAATATTATTAAGATCACCTGTAAGTTTAACTTTATTATAATAATAAAATAATGTATTATTTTTTAAATAATTATTTATTGTAATTAATTTTAGGCTGCAGTATCTAATTTTGAAGAAATGATATCTGGTACAACATTTTTACCAGTTCTTGGAAATGATAATATTTTAGAAAAATCAAAGTAAGAAGTAATTTATGTAATTTTGTAATATTTCATCAAATATTTATGCATTTCTATTGGCTTTAGAATTGAAAAAGTTGTATTTGTTTGTGGAAAATTATATTATGATCTTGTAAAAGAAAGACAAAATAAAAGATTGGAAAATAAAGTTGCAATTATTAGAGTTGAAGTATTATTAATTAAATTAATAATTATTTTTTATTTTATCAATTACTGTATTAATTTAATTAATTATTTTAGGAATTATGTCCATTTCCAAGAAAAGATATAGAACAAGAATTAAGTAATTATAATAATGTGCAAGGTAATATAATAAAGATTAACTTTTTAAAATAAAAAATAATTAATAAATTATATATATAATTTTTTCAAAAATTATAGAATTTATTTGGTGTCAAGAAGAACCACAAAACAATGGTGCTTTTACATTTATTGAACAAAGATTAAATCAAATATTACCTAATAATCAAAAGGTAAAATACTTATTTATAAAATTTTTTTTTAAATTATTTAAACTAAACAATTTTATTATTTTAGATAAAATGTATTAGTAGACCAATAAGTGCTGCACCAGCTGTTGGTATTTCTAAATGGCATTATATTGAGCATTTAAAAATTTTAGATAAAGTTTTTAATAATATATAGAATTAAATATATAAATTAAAATAAAATATTAATTTATATAAAAAATATGATTTTTAATAATTAAATATATATTTTAATGAATATATTTAAAATTTTATATTAAATTTTTTTTTTCTTTAAATTATAATTTTTGAAATTCTATTATATTTTTTAATATTATATATAGTATTTTATTTTAAATTAAAATTTTGATAATAAGTCTTTTTTTTTATTTTTTTAAATTTCTTCAAATCTTTTTTTGTTTAATTATTAATTAAGTGATTTTAACATTTATTAGAGTAAAATTCATCTGAAGTAAAGTTTACTTAAATCACATAATTTATTAAATTTTAAATTGTTTTATTTTAAAAAAACCAATAATTTTATTTTTTATATAAAATATATCCCTTAAATAATAAGAAAATTGCGTGCAAATTTGCATGCAATTTTCAACATTGTTTAATTAATTATATACGTGAAATTGCAATAATTAATCTAGATTTTTTTTATTTTTGCATAAAAAACATCATGAATATTATGTTAAAAATATTATTTTATTATTTAAATCATTTTTTTGTATAGTTGCCTTATAGATGAATTTTTGCATTTGTAAAAATTGGAAATTTTACAGAGTTAATTACATCACGTTTCTCATCAGATACACCTCCTCTTCAGCTTCTTGGATGTCTGGCGTGGAATGTAAGTGGAATGGGATTGAGAGGGGATTTTTTTGTTTTTGTGAACATTGCTAATATTCTTTTTCTTTTTTTTTCTTTAGGAATGCCCTTGGACTTCAGCTTCTTGAATACTGGGTTTTGAAATAGTAAGTAAAATGGGAGGGTGATTTTTTATTGAATTGGAAACGTTACTAATATTCCTTTTATTATTTTTTCTTTAGGGACGCCCTTAGACTTTGGCCTTTTGAATATCGGGTTTTGGAATAGTAAGTAAAATGGGAAGGTGATTTTTTATTGAATTGGAAGCATTACTAACATTCCCTTTCATTTTTCCTTTAGACGCATCAGTAAATTGGTTCAGTTTAGGCGAAACTGAACTGAACTGAACTTTTTTCTCTGTTTAGTTAGAAGAAATGAAGATCAATAAACGGGTTCAATAATTAAATTTAATTATGTTAAAGTTTTTAGATACAATACTTGATTAAAATTTTTTTAGAATCACCTGTTTACTCTTATTTTTGTAGAAAATAGGAATGCGCCTAGTAAATTTACTATAAGGGAATACGTCTGTCAAAGTGCAATACATCAGTCATAATGGAATACATCTTCAAATTTTAATACGTCCATAAAATAATTACAGTTACGTTGATTCAAATTCGGCAACTGTGCCATAATTTTCCCAGCATAGTAGACATGCTTTTATCACTTTGCCGATCATTTGTCGATCATATAATTTATCATGTCACATTAATTTTGAAGCTATGGTTAAAGCCATAAAATGCTTAGCCAAACTATACTAATGTCTATACATGCTGCCCAAATTATTTTGGGATGCCATAATTATAATTTGGGATGCCATAATTCATTCGGTTTATATATAATTTACTATGTAAAGTGCTAAAATAATTTGGGATGCTATAATTGAATTTGGGATTTTACTTATAATTACAGCAGTCCAAAATAATTTGGGTGGCATGTATACTAATGTCTTTTTAGTAGTATAATTTACGAAAAATAAAAAAAATTATATTGTCAAAGTTAACCTTAAACCGAAATTTTCAATAATTTGATATTTGCCTATATTTGCCGATTATCTGCTAATTTGACTTTGGAGCTTCGGGCGAAGCCACAGATTTATGGGCGAAACTTGAAATTTTCAAAATATATTATTTAGGTATTTAAGAATCAATGGCAAAAATAATTATGTAGAATTTTAGGTAATCAAAAAGTTATCATTGAGCAAATTTTTATGAATATTATTAAAATATACATATAGACAAAATTTGTAAAAATTTATTAACTGTTTAAAGAATTTTTTTTGGTAAATTTAGTATGCAGTAAATTTAAATGAATGTTAAATTTGTCTGTAAAATTATTATTATGTAGGATTTTCAACTGAAGTAATTATAACGAAGTGATAAAATTGAATAAATGATCGACAAATGATCGACAAAATTGTGATAAAGTAAAGATGTCCGCTATGCTAATTTTCCCAATATCACTAGTTTTCAAGATATTTTCGTGATTTTTTATCGTTCTCGTGTAAATTTTTACAGAATTTGTTTTTATTAATAAAATTTCGTAAATTGTAATTATCAATGTAGTAAATTATAATAAATTAATTAATCAAGTACATTTTAAATTACATGATAAAGTGCATTGCTACAAAGATTAAAATCCTTATTTATAAGAAAAATTTTTGTTGAGCTGAAATTTTTTTTTTAGGCAACGGAAATTTATGAAAATATTTTTTAAGACCTTTTAAAGCAAAGTAATCAAATCCACCGATATGACCATTTCTCCATATTTGTATTATCTAAGGAGCTTTTTAGAATTTGTAGCCTTTTTGGCAGTTGCTAATGCCAAAGGATTGATTTCAGTATTTTGATGTGACATACCATTATTCGTAAAGACCACAAAAGTCTTTTTAATATTTTATACCCATTCTGCTCTTCCAAATATTTGATTTGAATTCTCTTCTCCCTCCTTTTCACGAAACCAACACTTGTAGACATTAGATTTCTTAGAGTAATAATTGTATGAAATTGATTTTCGCTACGCTTTATTTTTTTTCCGGTCTGTGTTGCACACAAAAAGCCACATTAGTCAAATTCGGTCATTCGTACGACTGAAAAATTACGTAACCTAATTCACTTTTTTTTAATAAATACCCTGAGAATTCGTCGGAGAATCAAAAAATCTAATGAGTAATGATAAAACCACTGATAAATTACTTTTTTACTATGCTTATTAATTTTTTGCTGTATTACGTCACAACAAGCCACCAAAAGTTTATGCAAGAGTCTATCAGTCACGATGTATCCAGAAAAGTATATAAAGTTTAGTTCTCTTAGTTCTCTCAAACTTTCTCAAATTTTTCTAAACTACTACTCGCTTTTAACAGGAACAAAATGATATTGTCACTCAATTGTTTGATTCTAGGACAAGCTTCCGATAAATGTTTCGCTGAAGACATAGGCGAAAAATATTACGATGATAGTAATATTGTAGTCGAGTTTTCCGATTTTAAAGTTTCACACTTCAAAGAGAAGCTCTTCCGTAGAGAAGAAGTAAAAGTTAAAGTTCAAAATACTGGTAAAATGGATCTTTGGAAAGTTGACGGCAAGAAAGTTGATGAAGAAGAAAATAATCTTATAGAATTTAATAAAAGTGACATCAAAGATAAACTCGGAGGCGAAAAGATGAACCCTCGATTCCCGCTTGAAGACTATTTTAAGGCTAAGGAAACTAATACACGGGACATCCATGTCTTCATTGTTTCCACTTCCACTGGTAAGTGTCTCCCAATTTTTTACCTCTCTAACAAGGAAATTGCAGTAACAAAATATTGTGTTCCTTTATTTTCTTGATGCTTATGTAATTGATCTTCTTTTTTTATTGTTTTTAGCCTCTGACTTTCCAAACAAAAGGACAAAGCTCGAAGGTTTGATGTTTTAGATCTAGGCTTGAACTTTAATGTTAACAGCTAACTCACATATTAACTATCTCTATCTTAGATAGAACATCAGATTTTTTAAATTTGCTCTTGTGTCCCTTTGATACTGAAATTGATTGTACTAATGTTGAGCAGTTCCTTTCGGCAAAACTACCACTTAAATTGCCATGTTTTCCTGGTTTAGTTATGGGCTATACTGACGTAATTGAAGACACATTTTCAAGCTCTATTTATTCTTCTAGATTAAGTTTGATTGTTGGTGAAGTTATGAGCGCATCATTTAAACAAATTTCTGGTGGGGAGGCAAGAACTTTGGGAAATATTGATGTTCATATTAGGAAAATTATTGAACTTGCCCAAGAATATGAAGAGAATTGTAGTGATTTAGATTTGGATCGTAACAAGACAATTAAATCTACAACCACTACCACAGAGCATCCGAGAAGTCGACCAGATATGACAATCTATTATAAGAACGTGCTTTTTATGATGGGTGAGGAGAAAGACCTTGATGGTAGATTGGAAGCTGCAGAAAAACAATTAGATGGATATTTTGACTTTTGGAATCCACTTGCCTTTGGTAAACTGCCATTTGTTATGGCTTTTGTAGCAGCCGGTATAAAATTGCAATTTTACTATTATTATTCGAACAACAACAATGTACCAGTACGTGTGAGAATTGGTAACACTATAAACCTTGGAACTACAAATCGAATGAATAACTTTAAGGCACTTCAACATACAATCAATGCTATTCGGATTATTCGGACTTGGGATCTCAAGCAGTATATACGACGTCCGGAGATAAAGTTATATGAAGTGATCCAACGAAGAAATGGAACCACCGTCACAATAAACCCCAAAAAAGTAATTAAAAAATTACATATAGAGAAACGAGAGCCCGCCTATAAAACGTTCCTTAAGTTTTTTTACGAAAATATTTTTCCAAAATTAGATAATTATAAGTTACTTGAATCAAAATATCATGCAAGATGGATATATTTAGAATTTGCACCAGTTGGAGATATATGGAAATTCCTAAAGATGAAGATGAGCTGCGATATGCTATATGGAGTGTATTTAAAAGTGTAATGATCCTTCACGCAAATGAGATTGTTCATCGGGACATTCGTTGGGAAAACGTCATGAGACTTACAGATAATAGTTGGGTTTTAATTGACTTCGAAGAAGCTGCTCCAATCGGAAGAGGTAACCGAAGGTAATAATGATAGATTAATGGGCTTATTTGGCGTGTATCAAATATTAACTAATTTTTACTATTTTGTTATAGTACACCTATATTAAATATTGCGGCTCCGGAATATAGAGGTATGGAATCCGATCCATGCCGAGCAGCAGGTGATATCTGGATGATTGGAAACCTTTTGAACGATTTAAGAATTCTTCAAATTCAGCTTTCTGCAAGAGCTAGAAATTTTCGGGATAGATTGACACAACAAAATCATGATGAAAGACCATCTGCAGCAGATGCTATTGATGACGACTGGTTTAGCGATATGTAAAGACAGTATTTCTCCATGCTATATTTGGTAAGCAGCTACGTAATATAAGATTATTGTAAAAGAAAAAAAGTAAAGAAAAAAATAACTAAGCTTTGGGGTATCAAAATGATATAATACAACAATTGCTTGACAAACAAAAAAATTAATATGCAATGAAAATCGCATCTTTATTATTTTTATTATTTATGTAAAATAAATGAGTAGTGAATATTTAAAGGGAGGAAGTATGATTCAGTCAAAATGTTCTATCATATGTTTCAGTTATCTGATACATGTGGAAGTTGCAATCCGTGTACAAACGCAGTAACGCTAATACTCATGCCTTATAACAAACATATGGCGCAGAAAATCAAATAAATTTTCCAGGACGGGCTGTCTCAGAACAGTGCCATCGGTTCGTTTAATTTAATTCATCACGGAAAACTTCTCTTACGGAACTTAACCTTTTACATGGACTATTTGGATGGGAGTGAAACGAGATAGCGATATTAGTGATAGAAACAAATTAGTTATAAATAATATGAGAGAGCTGGGACTCACATTAAATGGCCTAGGATCCTCGTACTCCCTTTCTCTTTGATAGCATCATGCATTTCATTCGCTACCTTTATCATCTTATGTATCTGAAAAATTAATAAAACTTCGCCTGGGAAGAAGTGATTGGCGTTACAAATTGTAACGCGCACGTGATTTTTTATCTGAAAGATGTAAGTCACATAACTGATTAACTAATCAATAAATCTAATAAATCTCTGATTTTTCATACATTTGCTTGTGTGAATCGAATTTCTATAAGTTCTCTTTCTTATTTTATGAAAACTGTGGAACTATTGAAATGTCACTCCCTTCGGTTGATGATATAAAGAAAGGATGGAAAAGGGATGACATAATCACTTTCTTACAAATTGAGGGATTAAACTTGGACCTTGACAAAGAGGACATTGGGATAATCAGAAATAAAAAAGTTAGTGGTAAAGACTTTCTCAGCTTGACGACAGAAAAACTTGAAAATTATGGATTGCAACCAGGGCCTGCTTCTAGAATCGCAGAGCTGGTCAAGGAAATCAATGGTGAACAAGGTGAATTACGAGATAATTTTTCTTGTCTTCTCTGTTATATTTGCCAATAATACCAAATACTTACTTATTCTTGTGCTTTTCTTTTCTGCTTTTTATCGTCAAACTGACCAAACAATACATTCATGCTATTATAGAGCAATCCATTTCTGGTAAGTGAGTCATAATAAACTTGGTCAACGTGAATGAATGAGACATTGTTCTAACTTTTCATTCTTGTTATTTAACAATCAAAAATACTTAAAGTTGAGAGTAAGAGTAAGTATCTGCTTTCGGATATATACTTTTTTTCCTGTTATCATTTCATTAAGAGGATGTTTAATAACTTGTACTATTTCTTATTTCTAGACATATACTTTCAATATTACGATTCAATAGTAATTCCTGAAAGTTACAACAGTTGGACTAATTTTAGGGAGTTATTTAGCCATTTTGGAACTGTTTTCGGTCTTGAAGGCTTTATTATAAATTATGTTTTTGTTATTGGTAAAAAAAAAGTGGATTTGACTTCAAAAAAAGACTTCATAGAATTAGTTAAACAAAACAGAATTTCAGTTAGAAATTCCGTCAAAATATTAGATGTGAATGGTATGATATTTCAATCATTAGTTGATTTTGAATAATTCATTAAATCAACACTTAACCTTACTTTTTAGGCTATGGATCACATACAGAATTATAGATGGTTTACCAACATCATTAAAGTTGGCTGATCCAACAAGTGGCACAAGTATAATAGCAATAAACCTGCTTTATATTTCAAGATATGTGCTAAAATGAGATAATAAATTATAATATCAGTTTTTACTAACGGCTCTACTATTTATCACCACATGGTAATAAATAATTATTCATCACCATAATCAGATAAGGTGATAAATAACTATTTGTCACTATAAGTTTGCAACTATTGTAATATATTTTTATTATATATTAATTAATAAAGAAATTATCTAACTGTTAAAATACAATGATTTTATTACATAATCCATAAACCAAGTATTCTGACTCTAACCTTAGGCTGCTCCAATTTGATAGTTTGTTTAACGTTCTAACTTTATATAAAAATTGAGGGTCAAATTAAGTAAACATTTAAAAATAAACATAGTTTTTTCTTTATCACTCAATGCATTTTTACTAAAAATACATCTTAATTTATTACAGATAATGCAATTAATAAGTTTACATATATTACTTTTATTAATTATACCATTTTCTTTGGTAGATTCAATTACACTGGAAAGAAATTCTTTTAAATATTATACAGATTGGTGATGTTATTATAAGTCACTTGATATAACATATGTTTGTTTATTTTTAAAAATTTTTCAAAAATGAGGGGGGTGGGGTATGTTAAACAAACTATTAAATTGGAGTGGCCTTAATGCAATTATAATCTAATGCACTAATCCTAATCCTAACATAATAAATAATTCTAACGCACTGATCACACAATAATACCAATATATAAAAACAATAATTGTTAAATTAACTTTTTAAATGGATATATTGATTAGATATTCCTTATTTAATTTCCTGAGTAATATATTACAACCAGTATCAGAAGACAAGCGAAAACATCCATATGTTATAATAAAAGATAAAAACAATAAAGTCTCAATAGGATTTGTTAAGAAAAGAACACATATAAAGAAAAATGGTGAAAAAATTGAATGTTTAATCATAAAAGTTTGCAATATTGAAATATGTTTAGATAACTCTCAAAAAGCAATTATCCAGAAACAGGAATATCCAAAAATGATTACAATAACCCAACATAATGTATTAGTATTACCAATTTTTATTTGTTTGTTAACAGGTGCAATCACACATGTCGACTGATATTATATATATAGTGGAATCACTAAATAGAGCCAAAAATATTTCAGTAAATATTAATATATAACAATTGGAAAAAACATCTACAATTAATTTGAATAAAGACAATTTAGGCTTATGGATTAATCGATGGATAGAACAAGATGCACTTAAACAAGAACTTACAAATATAAGACATTAGTTAAAGTTATTAAAAAATATTGAATATTATATAGATGGATCACTAGCTAATCAAACTATAAGTAATAATGATCTTTCACATATAACAGATAATATTACTGTGGATTTAGGAGCAGCATTCTATACAAATAATAAATTAGAAGAATTTTTAGTATACTTATGTCTATCTTTATGGCCATCATCAATCAGAGCAGAAATAGTAGCTATTTTCTTAGCATTGTTGACAGCACCAAAAAATTCCAATGTAACTATTTATACAAACAGTTTAAGTGCTATAAATTCAATTAATTCAGCTTTTAATTCAATAACTAGAATATAGCTTAAAAAGACTAATAACTTAATCATTATTAAAATAATTATATTGATCAGAGAAGCAGCTATAAATTTAAAGCTGGTTAAAATAAAGGGTTATAGTAGCATAACAGGTAATGATATAGCTGACAAATTAGCAAATGTAGAAATAATTTATTTAGGAATAATGTAGATTTTATTAATAATATATTATCTTACTTTCCTGTTTTTATAGATAATTCTATTGAAGTTAATATTAGAAGATTTATTTTGAAAATATTAGCTACAGGTGAAGCAGGACTCCAGACATCATATATATAACTCATAACTGATCTGCATAAATTTAAGTACTTTTTGCTCCTGCTAAAATAGATTTAATTTGCTAAAAATCAAATTATCACATTTCAAATCTATACTAATTTGCTAAAACTCAAAATATGAGTTAATAATCTTTTTTTTTATTATCAATAAAAAAATAAATGATTAATATAAATTAAACTGCCAATTTTTATAATTAAAATATGTAGATTATAGATAAAATAATAATTAATAAAAATAATAAATTAAATAAATAATTATTAAAAAATAAAATGTTGCGAAACTAAACGGATGGGTTTTGGCCTGCATTATGCTTAATTTTTGCCGGAATTATACTTAATTTTGGCCAAAATATGACTCGGACCCTGAAACTAATATTTTTAAAAATATTATTTATAAAGTTAAAAACAAAGGATAAGTTAAATTTAAAAAAAAATACCAATTTGCTCAAATATAAAATATGACTTTGTAAAATCAATACAATTTGCTAAAACTCATAATTATGACTATTAATTAATTTTCAATCAATTTGCTCTTTCTAAAATTATAAGTTTAACCTAATTTTGATTGAATTTGCTAAAACTCAAATGTGAGTTATATATGTGATGTCTGGGGTCCTGGTGAAGCTACTGAATGGTCATTATTAAAAATAATCAGGAATTATGTTATGAAAATGATAATCAGATAGACTGAAAAGTTACTTAGCTTATTTTCCATTATTGCAAGGGATTTTACTGCATTAGCATGCGACTTAACTATTTATGGACTTTTATAGCAAAATTATTTCACAAATCCTTCTTTTAGGATCTATTCTAGCAATAAGAAAACCAAGACTTTACAAAGAAATGAAATGCAATAAGAAGGAAAATTGGAATTATTTATTTGAATGTCAGGCATATGAGGTGGCTTGGAAAAAAATATGGGAGATTACAACAAAAGAATCTATAATTATATGTTTGAAACAAAAATAAATTAAAGGTTAAGGTGAAGATTTTATTAGAAAAGTATTATAAAACATACTAGAAGTTACAGCAAAATCAAAAAAATTTCAAAAGTTTCAACAGTTGGCATTAAAAGTAAAAGTCGAAACTTTTCTAATAATAAAATTACAAAAAGACTTTAAGATATCTTTTACTGAAGCACAGATACTTATGGCTAATATTTTAATTAGATTTATTTTAGCATTTAAAGAATTAATATGGAAACCAAGATGTGAACAAGTTATTTTATAGAAAAAAAGAAGAGGCATTTCTAGAACAAATAAAATTACTTCAGAATTCAAGGGAAAGGACAATTCAAATTAACCTTCAGAATCAAAAGTAAAGAACAATGCAAATAAACTTTCAAATAAAGTTAAAAATCTACAAACAGAAAAAATAGATCGATTACAGAGGTTAGTCTTCTTAGTAAAGAAATCAATAGATACCTTTGTAAGGAAATACATATGTGAGGATTGGATTCTAATAAAAAAGAAAGTTGATAAGATTACATTATACATAAGCAAGAAATTACTGTATTGATAGTTCTAAAATAATATTTTTATTCTGTTCTCAATTATATTTATAATTTTAGACATATATTTTCACTGGTCAAAATTGAGGTTATCAAGTACAAATCGGGTTATACATGCCACCCAAATTATTTTGGATTGCCGTAATTATAAGTAAAATCCCAAATTCAATTATGGCATCCCAAATTATTTTGGCACTTTACATAGTAAATTATATATAAACTGAATGAATTATGGCATCCCAAATTATAATTATGACATCCCAAAATAATTTGGGCAGCATGTATAAATCAGGTACCAGATAAGGATCCTGAACAATACTGATATAACTCATATTTGAATTTGCGTAGAGTTTATATTAAAATTTTTCAAAGTTGCGTATTACAGGGGTATTTTCAAAATTTTATTGTCCTATATACCCCTGTTTTTAACATATACAGGTAAAATGCTGACCAATCGGGTACCTACCTAATAGTGAATTTAATTGTCTCTAAAATCTTTGATCGATTAATTGATTATTTTACGATAAGTATGATCGATCAATTTAATTGATCAAAATAGTAATCATCCTGTATTTATATTAAATTTTAAATTTTGTTTAATATATCATAATATCAAAAAATTTATTACAAAAATTTATAATTTATTATTTATTAAATATTATTCAAACTATATTATTTTATATTATTTAAACAGAAAAAAAAGTAGTTTACTTACAGCTTTTGGTAAAAAATTTTAATATTAATAGTATCTGCTTATATACTAAAATTAGAATTTTTAAAAAATTATTTAAATAGAAATTATCATATAGTTATTGATTGATTGTATTGATTAATTATATATTTGATTGATCATAATTAATTGAATTCTAAATTTTGTGATCGATTAATTGATTGATCAATCAATCATCGATCATAATCAATATAATTAAATTTCCTACTACCTAATTGGTAACTTTTTTTTTGATCGGTCACCTGATTTATTCAATAGTTAGAAATTGGTGTACACTTCAATCAGATATCAATCAGATTAATACCCGATTGATAACTATCTTTTAGTTTAAATTTACCAATTGATAACTATCGTTTAGTTTAAATTTACTGATTGCTCTCTTTAAAACAAATAGTGACTGATTGTTAGTAATTTATAAATTTAAAACAAATTGTAATCCAATTGTTAGTAAATTATAAATTTATTTATCAGATAACTTATTTTAAATGTAAATGAACCCTGTTTTATTACAAATGAAATTGTCTATTAATTGGTATGACTGCCATATAAGTAGTTGGATTTCATGTGCCAACTGTAAATTTGCTAGGTAAGAATCAACTGTATATGTTATGAATTGGCATGATGGCATCTCTAGATAATTTGTGGAAATCATATTTCCACAATTTAACGTTGCAACTTTTATCATCCCAATTGCCGATTCTGCAATAAAACCTTATTTTCTCATTTGGTGCCTATAAATATCAGTTGATAAAAGCAAGTTGATGCGTCTTACGACTGATTGGCAGCTGAACTATATTCTCGAAATAATACTGAACATAACCAGGGTAAATGTCTATAGACTTATCGTCCTGTATAGATTTGGCCAGAATATATAAACTTTTTTGATATTAGGGTGCATTTTTGACCCAAAAATTTTGGCAGCAATCCGAATACGACCAAACTGGGTTACAATTAGCAATACAACGATTGATTAATTGGAATCTCCTGACGATAAATCACTTGAAGCTAAATCAGCAATTGATGTAAAATTCCAATCGTATATATCATTATAATATTTTACCAATAGTTCATATGCAATTTAAACAATTACAGGCTCGACCAGTTCGTAATCCACCAGTCTATACATCAGGAAATTTGTTTAGGCGTAATTTAGTGTAATATTTCGAAGGTGGTGTAAATTTTCGAAATATTACACTAAAAACGTAATATTACAAAAGTTTACGCTCTTAAATTTAAATAATTATAGTAATTTAAGAATATCTCACTATCTACTGATCCAATCAAGACAATCTATAGCTCATTGGAATCAGCTCATCAAGACGAATCGAATGGTAGTAAAATCGCATTTCTACAGTTGATAGAACGCTCTATAGTATACAATAAAGTTTTAAATTAATAGAAAGCCATCTATCGAACATAAAGATGCAATTTTACCACCATTCGATTCGTCTTGATGAGCTGATTCCAATGAGCTATAGATCGTCTTGATTGGATCAGTAGATAGTGAGATATTTTTAAATTACTATAATTATTTAAATTTAAGAGCATAAACTTTTGTAATATTACGTTTTTAGTGTAATATTTCAAAATTTTACACCACCTTCGAAATATTACACTAAATTACGCCTAAACAAATTTCCTGATGTAGATAGCAGATTAAACCTGTTCGACCAAAACCACAGAGACGTGTTATTAAGGATCATCAGGATCCTGATTGGGATGATGGTTATATAGAACCTGATGTTGGTGACAATCCTGATGCTCCTGTTATGACTTTGGATGATCATCAAAATACTATTAATCTTATTATGGGATATAAACGTGAAACGTCTAAAATACTTACAAATCAACTTCAGAAGGCTAAAGATAGATGTGATGATCTGGATTTAATCCAAGCAATGAGAAACCTTGATCTTAACGATGATGCTATAGACATTCACACGTCAAATGATCAAAAATAGGCAAAAAAAATGGCGCAAATCGCATAAACTATTCGCAAATTTGTATAAACTATTTACAAATAGTATAGGTTAATTCGTAAATAACCAAAAACAGCCAAGAATAGCCAAGAATAGCCAAGAATAGCCACTGCTTTTCGTGCCATTTTTTTTGCCGATTTTTAGCATTTCGACCTGTGATTGATACTGCGAGTTTTAGTGAAAAGGTAGATTGAGAGAAAAAGATGGTGATGTCTATATGGTTCGTGTTGAGTCAAAAAAAAGTAGGTTCAAGTATCTCAAAACTTCTTAAGTCGTTCCTGAATAAGACAGCAGTTAGCTCTTCTAGTGTGTCCTTAAGGGGCAAAGCAACCCCTGTTAAGATTCCTGTGAAAGTTACTGGTAGTAAGTCTACACCTGCAAAAGCTGTTACTAAGAATAACTTATTAAGCCTATTAAGGTCTGCAGACTTTAGGAAATTACTCTGTGAGATTCTTTAGGAGGAGTTGAAGTCTGCTAGTAAAATTATGGAAATTCCAGAGGTTCAGAATTTAGCTGAGGAGGAGAAAAGGATATCAGGAAAGACGATCCTATGGATATTGACATAACTCATTTGAAGAATACTAAAGATCTTTTAGCATTGGATGGGAAGGTCAATGGGATAGCAATTCAGTGTTTAGCAGATACTTGTGCTAATGCGTCTTTTATTCAGAGAGAAGCTGCTGAGGAATTAGGGTTGGATATCGACAAGAGTATTACACACAATATATCTGGTGCTCCGGGAACAGGTAGGACATACGGCATGATAAAGGGTGAGTCGCATGTAACTTCATAATATAATTATATTATGAAGTTACATGCGACTTAGATTAGGTTATGAAGGTAACTTCATAATCTGCTGGTGTCTTTATAACATAATGGTATCTTCATAGTCTATCGGTAACTTCATAATATAATGGTAACTTCATAGTCTGCCGGTGTCTTCATAACATAATGGTATCTTCATAGTCTGCCAGTGTCTTCATAATATAATGGTGATATCATAATCTAATTTCATGATCTGGTGGTAACTTCATAACCTATTATTCATAATCTGATAGGAACTTCATAACCTACTTATGGGTAGTTTCTTTGCATTTATAATATTGTTTCAACTGTTTTCTGTATAATATAGTGGTGATTTCATAGTCTAACGGTGGTTGGGAATGCTTTAATTTAATGGTGATGTCATGATCTAACGGTGACTGCTTTCTTCTTGCTCCTAATTCGTTTACATAATAAATTCTACATTGTTGGTATTGGCTTTTTATCCTTGTTTGAATGCCTGGTTCCATGTTGAGGATTCTGACGCTCTGTGCTTGTTTGGATGCTAGTTCTATATTGAGAATTTACGCATATTTGGTTGCCTTTCTAGATGCTGAAATAGTATAAAAAAAGGTGACGGGTGGCGCAGTAGATCTGCGATTAATTTTGGCTGATATTATACCATAATTCTGGCTGATCTTTAGAGCACATGATTTGAAGATCCTGGTGACATGATAGTGTCATGGTAGTATTATGGAACTATCGTGGAACTGGTAGGGAACTATCATAGAACTGTCATGAAACTGGCAAGGAGCTAGTGTAGTAGGGCAGAAATTTTACTGGATCAAGACAGTGTGTATGCTATTTTTTTTGAGCATCCCTATGAAAATTCTCCGTCCCTATAAGAAAAATTCATAGGGACGCTTATAGGGACAATCTTGATATCATTTTTGGACTTCTTAGCTTGATTTATTGAGTTCTTTATTACTTGTCCCTATGTTCCTATGAGTCCCTATGAAATATAAAAGTTCTAGGAAAAAAAAATCGAAATTTTTCTATGGTATACCAATTGGGCAAATATAGTCATGTATATGGTTGATATAATTGATATATGATCAATATATGGTATAAAAAAAAGTAAAGAGTTCGAGAATTCATAGGGACTCATAGGGACATAGGGACAAGTAGTAAAATTGCTTTCCCAGAGTTCTAAAACTGGAAAAGAAGATACTTCTAGTGTCCTTGTTAAGTTTTTTTGCCGTCCCTATAAATTTTTCATGAGGCCAAATTTTTGATAAATCATTAGGGCCAACTTATAGCATTAGGCTTTTTCATTTTATCGAGAGCCTGCCCCAATGCCTCTGGAGTTTGCCCGTTCTGAAGCATCTTAGCCAACTTCTTCCGGTGATAATTTGCTTTCGAATAGGACTTATTTACATGCAAATTACAATATCCATATTTTGATGCTATCGGTCTTACACACCCATCTTGTTTGCATAGAGGTCGCTGGTGTCTTTTCCAGTGAATACTACACCCTTCTGGTCGCGTATTTCCATTCCCACAAACTATTCCTTCATTAGAGGGATACTGGCAAATGTATTTACCGCCCATTAATATTATTCTTGGATAACACTTTGATATCTATAATAATATTTATTTTTATTTTAAACTTTTTTGTTGGGGTATTATACCAAAATGATATACTAGATAACATATCCGAAAATTTTTACTATGAGCCAATCCAAGCTTTCAGAGTTTCTCGACGTTCCCACCCTTTTTCACCCAAAGGCTGAAAAAAATAAAACAGAAGGCCAGGTAATTCGCTATCCTGGTGAAAAATACTTGTCGGGCATCCTAACTCTGAATGATATAGTTGCAGAAAATGATGATGGATTAACTGTAATCTTTGACGATGCTCTATCCAGTTGCCAAAAAATTCCATTCATGGCTATTGATAGTGAAAGGTCAACAGAAAAGATAAAAGGAATGTACCGCTATGTATTGCATCTTTATGGTCGCCTTATTAATGGTCAAAAGGTACTGGTAACTCTTATAGGAATTCAGGTTTTCTTTGACATTCTCGTACCAGACGGAGAGACTCCAGATGAATGTGAAGAAAAAGTGAGCGAAATTCTCTCTGGCATTGTGAAATCATTTAAGACGGAGCATATTAAAGCATTCCCTTTCCGCGGATACTATGTAGAAAAAAAGCCATATTTACGAATTTATACGAATAGCACTGGGGAGAGAAAGAAAGCCATTATAGCTGTCCAAGATAATAATTTTGAAACCGCTTCAGATGATTTATACTCATTCCACCGAAAGGTGGCTCGAGAAAATGGAATCCAACTCTCTGGGTGGTCTACATTAAACAAATATATATGCAAGAAAGGCAAGCGGATCAGCCCGCTCTATTCACATGAATTCTATGTATCTATAGAAGATTACTGTCCGCTAGAGGATTTCACAACAATAAGTGACCAATTCCCTATTTCAGCTCTCTTACGGGATCGTACTCTTGTCCTCACATGGGATATAGAAACGCAATCACAAGAGTTAAGTGAATTTGCCGAAGTCCTTAATTTGAAACAAAATGTCTTTATGATTTGCATGACACTGCATTGGAAAGATGATTCAAAACCGCTAAAGCAAATATGTCTTGTTGACGTTGAGACAGAACCAGATCCACGCTGGATCACAATCGTATGTGGAAACCAAGAAAATCTGCTAAAGGCATTTACTCTCTGCTGGCGAGCATTTGCCCTGACATCCAAGTTGGGTTTAACGATTCAGACTATGATTGGCGTTTCATTATGGAAAGAGCCTATCATCTTAACATTCTCGAATGGATGTGGGAGCGGATGACAGGAAGCTTTAAATCGTCTGAAGAAATAATAAAGTGGAATTATCGTGGAAAGATAGGAGCGAAATCTGAAAATACTTTTAAGAAGAAAGAAAAGAAAAAGAATAATGAGAACACAGATAGTGAAAATTCTTTCCACATTCTTGAGAACGGAGAGGAGGATACGGAAGTCAAAGAATTTCTGGGCAGTCCGATTAAGATCAAAATTTCTGCGAAAGATAATTTCTTTTCCAGCTTCCTTAAACTGCCAGGATGTGTACCAATTGACGTTAGAGTTTCTCTCAAAAAGCGTTATCCTCGTTCTGAAGTCGAAAAGGAAGGCTCACTTAAATTCTTCTTACAAAAATGCGGTCTTGACGCTAAAGCTGACATGCCATACGATAAATTGTGGAAAACATATTCAGAGGCGAAAAGGGACCCGTCCCCATCAACTGCAAGGAAAATGCGGGAAGTAGCATATTACTGTATTATAGATGCACTGCGTTGCCAGGAGCTTTTGGTAAAGCTAAGTCAAATAAATGAATACAGAGAAGTCGCTTCTATAGCTTATGTATCTTTATTCGACTCACACTATCGCGCAAATGGAATGAAGGTACGAAACCTTCTAGGCTCTTATGCTTTTAAACGTGATATGCTATTTAATGTAAGGATTTCTAAAAAGGTGGAAAAGGGTAAGTATTCCGGTGCATATGTTTTTCCACCTAAAAAAGGTATCGAGACGAAAAGGCCAGTAACGGGTTTGGATTTTACATCTTTATATCCAAGCCTTATTATGGCCTATAATCTCTCTCCAGAAAAATTTATATTTAATCCAGAGAAGGCTGTCATTATAAATAAAAAAGAATGGAAACACTTTACACGAGATTAGCTTTCCATTCAATAAGCGCACTATTCAAGCTTAGTGCATAAGACATGATAATCGATCTGAGAAGAAAAGTTTATACCCGACCGTATTAGAGGAATTATCTGCGATGAGACTAGAACTTAAAGCGCAACTTGCCTCATTAGGAAAGAAGAAGATTCAACTTGGAAAGATAATAAGTTCGTTGAAAGAAAAGGGTAAAAGAATCCCTGAGAAGTTAGATTTAGAATATAAAACTCTTTGCTTCGAACATGACTGCTTGGATTCAAAGCAGAAAGCTATAAAGCTATTTATGAATACCTTTTATGGAGAGGCCAGAAACCCATTATCTTCAATCTTTCTCCATGCATTGGCCGGAGGAACCACTTCCGCTGGTAAATACATTATCAAACTCGTTGCAGAATATGTGGAAAAGAAAGGCTTTAGAATCAAATACGGGGATACTGATTCTTTGTATCTTACATGTTCAGATAAGTATTTTGAAAAATGCGATGAAGCCTTTTCCAGAGGCGAACTTTCTAAAGAAGCGTACTGGACCGAAATGGTCAAAATTACTATGGATGTAATAAAAAAGTTGCGCGATCAGAATAATGCCTATCTTAGGATAAAAACCAGCACATCTTATCTTAAGATGGCTTACGAAAAGGTATTATTTCCTGTCTGCTTTACTGGCAAAAAAAAGTACTTTGGAATTGGGCATGAAGATGAAGTAAACTTTAGACCAGATGATCTCTTTAAGAAAGAAATTGATACTGTAAAGCAAGGTAAATTCCAGCTTCTCAAATTCATCGGAGAGAAGATTATGAGAGAGGCTATGGATATTAATAATACACGTTCAATTCACAATATTGTTGAAGATACTCTTAGAGAAGCCCAGAACAAGGAATGGGATTTCAATGAATTTATCGTAATGGGTACATGGAAGCCTAAGAAAAATAATCTCTGCAATAATCGCTTTATGAAACGTATAAAAGAGAGAAATGAGAGGATTCCTGATCCCGGCGAACGCTTTCACAGGTCGAACAGATGTCATTGTCGCAAAATTTGCCTGGAATTTTTCTGGCAAATTGAGAATTATCCCGGTAAATTGGGGTAAATTGTGTTACAATTTTGGGATAATGGAGGTCTTACAATTTGGCAAATTTTGTTAAAATGGCGGAATTCCTACAGAATTCCTAATTCAAATGTTGAGAAATTTTTCAGTAAATTATCATTAAATTGTGGGAAATTTTAGGCAAATCTTTAGTAATGATATGCAAACGAAGTGCAAATTGTGGTGAATTTAGTTAAATTTTTAGTAATTTTATGTAAACGTATTGCAAATTGTGGTGAATTTAGTTAAATTTTTAGTAATGTTATGCAAACGTAATGCAAATTGTGGTAAATTATAGTGAATTTTTAGTAATTTTATGCAAAAGTAATGCAAATTGTGGTAAATTGTAGTGTATTTTTAGTAATGTTATATAAATTGTTTAAAATTTAGGTGAATTTTTCAGCAATGTTGTGCAAACGTAATACAAATTGTGGTAAATTTTGCATTTTTTTGGTAAATGTTAGCTAAACTTTTGATAATTTAGTGAAATTTAGGATAATTTCTGACAATTGAGTGAAAATGTTTTACTGATTTTGGACAATTGAGTGTAAACGGTATAAATGCAACATTTTCAGAGACAATTTAGTGAAATTTTGGACAATTGAATGAAATTTAGTAATAATTTTAAACAATTTAGTGTAAACTCCATGACAATTTAAAACACTGTTTTAATAATTTCACATAATTTATTATAATTTTATTTATTAATAAATGTACAATTATTATTATTTAACGATAATCTATGGATAATCTGCACCTCTAATTCATTCATGTATCAAATGTCCAGTGCCAAAGTAGAAGCCAGTGTAAACCTAAAAAAAAAGAAAAAAATGAAGCGTTAATAAACGTTTCGTTGAAAAAAATTAAAATAAAGAAACATTTCGAAGTATATACCTTCGAAATGTTAAATTCCATACGTTCAAAGACCGTTGAACCTAAAAAATAAAAAAACGAAATATTAATATACGTTTCGTTAAAAAAAATCAAATAAAAAAAATATTTCAAAGTATACCTTCGAAATATTGAATTCCGGTTTGTCCAATGAGCCGCCAAACCTAAAAAATATAAAAAAAACAAAACATTAATATACGTTTCGTTGAAAAAAATCAAAATAAAAAACAAATATTTCGAAGTATACCTTCGAAATGTTCCTTTCGTTTTCACTGTTCCCTTTCGTTTCTCCCATTCGTTTTCACCTTCCCCGTTCATTTTCATCTTCCCCTTTCGTTTTTCCTTTTCCCTTTTCGTTTTTTCCTTTTATTTTCATTTCCTCTTCCCCTTGTGTTTACTCTTTCCTTTTCGTTTTACCCTTTTCCCCTTTCTTTTCATCCATTCCTTTACGTTTTACCCTTTCCTTTTCGTTTTATCCTTTCCCTTAAAGTAAAATGAAAAAGAAACAAAAATTTAATAAATTAGATAAACAAAAAAAATGAAAAATTCCCCTAATTCCCTTTCCCTTATTACCTTTCACCAAAGTCCGGGTCGTAATTTCATCCGGCATTCCTACAAGAAGGAAGAAAAGAAACGTCAGTTAACGTTTCTTAAAAAAAATAATTAACTATTAAGTTTCGCAACACAATGTTGTGAAACTCACCGGTTCGTTTCGAACTCCATCATCAAACGTCTGGCGTTCCTACAAAAAGTAAAAGAAACGTATGTTAGTATCGTTTCTTTAAAAAAAAAATAATAATTAAAAAAATAAGATTCGCAATATTGCGAAACTCACCGGTTCATTTCGATTTCTATTATCCAAACGTCTGGAACCTACAAAAAGAAAAAAAGAAACGTTAGTTAACGTTTCTTACAATAAAAAAAAATAAAAAATTAAGTTTCGCAATGTAACATTGCGAAACTTACCGGTCGTTTCCATCATCCTAACGTCCNCATCAAACGTCTGGCGTTCCTACAAAAAGTAAAAGAAACGTATGTTAGTATCGTTTCTTTAAAAAAAAAAATAATAATTAAAAAAATAAGATTCGCAATATTGCGAAACTCACCGGTTCATTTCGATTTCCATTATCCAAACGTCCGGAATCTACAAAAAGAAAAAAAGAAACGTTAGTTAACATTTCTTACAATAAAAAAAAATAAAAAATTAAGTTTCGCAATGTAACCAAATCATGATATGTGCGCTCTAGATCTATGTTCTCCAACTTACCTTCCAATTCACGTATTTTAGTTTCAAGAGAAAGAATCTGGACCTTGTCAGCGGACGAAGCTTTCTGGGCTAAAGTTGCCTCTCTCTTTAGCGTTTTAATATTTGATTTGAGTGATTTGACTTCGACTTCAAGTTCAATACGGGACCTCCATTCAGAAATAAATTCAGATCTAATTTCAGTAGTGGACGCATTTAACTGGCTAATCTTATTTTCAACATCAGCATGGATTTGATGAAACCCCTTTTCCCGCCTTGAATACTCTGAATTTTTAGCCAACAACTTTTCACAAAGATCATTAATTTCGGCTTTAGAACTAAGAGTGGTATACAATTTTTTTTGAGCTCTTGCTCATACGCATTACCAAGCCGATGACCTTTATTATTAATATCTTTCAAGGTATACACATTGGTCATAGCCTTTTTTCGGCTTAGTTGCTAGTATATTAAAAAACATACAATTGAAAATTTTTTACTTGGCAAATTTTTTAGACCGAATATATCGAATACTCCGAATACATCGAATGAACCGAATCTACTGAAAATATATCGATAATACCGAACAGAAATCGAACGAATATCGAAAATATATCGAAAATATACCGGTAATTTTTCGAAAGATTTTTTTGTCTATTTGTAAAAAATGCTTCGGTATTTGCGTTCAGATGAAAAATTTCACTCAAATACTGCACTTCTTTGATCCATAATCATGAATTTATTTTTTACTATTATTTTTCAATAAAATCTTTTATTTCAGAGTTATTTTTTCTTAAAAAGTCTTATATAAAAAGTTGTGTAAAGAAAGAATATTTATTTCAGCATTGGATTAAGTATATTGCAACATGATCTGCAAATTTTACAAGTCACTACACGTGACTGAAGTCATGTGAAATTTCTCCTGCTTGCCACTGTAATTCTCTCAATGAATCAATGAATTGCATATTCAATGATAATTTTTTTATATGAGATGATTAGTTTGTTAGCATAGATAAAAAACGAGATAATATCCTCATCGGAATTACTGATTTATCGATGTAAAAAATAGATTACAAGATTGCTGGTGTTTTGTTCATCTAAATCTAAATACTAATACAATATCCATTAACTCTAATCCGATTTTATTTGTCCCAACGTCGATATTCTGGATAGAATAAAATGGTCGTCAGTTATGTATGGAAGAGTAAGAAATAAATTAACAAAATTGGCATTAATAAAACTTACCGAAAGTTTATGATAGTAAAATTGTCAACGAAAGAAGAGAAGATAGGAAGCACGAATTATCAGAGTTATTCACTGAGGAAGCCAGGCAAAAATAGTGATTTAATTATTTAAGCGTTTTGGAAAAAGAGGTTTCTCCATCTAATAAGGGCCTCGCCACCCAATAACAAGCTAACACTTCAAAGAATTTTCTGAGCAAAAAAATAGTACAAGCTCTGAGTCGTTTGCACAGCCACACGAAAAAATATATTTTATTCATACCTTAATCTCATCCGGACTTCAATAATTTTTTCGTCAACACTTCAAACTACGATAGGCTGGTTTTTTTTTAAGACGGCCAGAGTAAAGTAAATCATTACATCATTAGAGCATTACTGCGCTTTATTAATTTATTCAAATACAGCCACTTGTACCGTTGTATGACCTAAAAATGAGGAATTTTAACAATGATTTTGTCACATAGTCACATGCTGACATGTTTACGTTTTTTATTAGGGACAGTTTTTTTTACTAGCCTGATCTCTATTTGTCACTTCACCTGTACTACTACGTTTAAAGTACTATTTATATTGTGACAGGGTAGTGTGGTAAGATTCCCCCTAAAAATTAGTTAAACTTTTTTTAAATAAATACCCTGAGAATTCATCGGAGAATCAAAATCAAATAATTAGAATGATAAAACCGTTTTTTCACATTGATAAATTACTTTTTTTTTTTGCTATATGTCATCAATCAAGAGTTTATTGGAGTCTATTTATTATTAGTCACGATGTATTCAAAAAAGTATATATACACCTTCAAACTTTCTTAAGCTTTCTCAACTTTTCATTTTCTTTTTTAGGTATTATTAAATAGAATGAATGTATTTCTCAAACTTTTTTTCATTCTAAACTAACAATATCACTTTTAAAAAGAAATATCACCAAAATGGTTTTTTCGTTAAACTGTATTATTCTAGGCGACACTACTACGTTTCCGATTACTCTTGGCAAGATAGTCATCTTAGATGATATACAATATGATATTAGCGAGTTTAGAATTTCAAACCTCAAGCGGTATATCTTTTCTAAGAAAAAAGAAAGTAAACTTATTGGTATTAGTGATCCTGATGATTTGAACCTTTGGCAGGTTAATGTCAGTAAAGACAAGCTTGAAGGTGTTTATACTACAGAGCACATAACGAATGAAAGAAGATGGATGAGGTGAATTTTATTACTAACTATTTTGATGTTAATCATCGCCCTGACAAGAACATTTATATTATCGTAGTCTTTTCTACTTCCACTGGTAAGTGTCTCCCAACGTTTTACCTCTCGAATAAGAAATTTGTGATCTTTTTTTATTAACTAGCTTGTTTCTATATTTTTAGATTACCTATATAAAAGACCAAGGCTTGATTTTAATAACATTCCTTTAGATTTAGGACAGTCTCCTACGCAACTTTTACATACTGGCGGATGTTTTTGGGATTATCAAGAATCATCTGAGTTGGAACAAGAATTGAGAAAAGAAGTTCGGGGGCTATATAACAGGGCAGACATCCCCATATTATCACGATATTGCTGATCATTTTGCCGATCACTTGTCCAATATTATCACATAAAAAAATACTGTTAAATTAGTTTTTTCACAAATTCTACATAATAATGTATAAAATTTGGATTTTATTTACTTTATTTTATTTATTGTTAATAAATTAGTTCTTAAAATAATTCATAAAGATTTTGTCAAATTTCAGACATATATTAATTTTACAATAATTGTAAACATTTATTTAATGATAACTTTTGGGTTATCAAAAATTATTCAGGTTTATTTTAGCCATTGATTCTTGAATACCTAAATAATATACTGTAAAAGTTTCAAGTTTCACCCGAAGATCTGTAGCTTCGCCCGAAGCTTCAAAATCACGTTAGCAGATGATCGGCATATATATAGCATAATTATATATTAATTATTGAAAATTTGACGTAAAATCTAACTTTGTAAACACACCTTATTTTGCCACAATACTTTTATATTAATTTATTGATAAATGAAACTATTAAATAAAATAATTTAACATAAATTGTCAGAACATTTATTGCTTGGAATAAAGCTTCAAATTTAACGTGATAT